TTACCCATGAGCAAGCACCCATCCGCACATTCACACTAAAATGAGTATAATCTGCTCAGTTTTCTCACTTCAATTTTCCTACTACGTCGTTCATTGTTATCAAATGGTTCGCACACTAAAGGCACACATTTTAAGACTAGTCCCATAATGATCGAATAAACAATGAAATTTTTAACAAATATTTTAATTTCGGACATCAGGACAGTTCGTTTCGCACATCCGCAGAGTTAATTGTGTACGTCGCAGACGTTTATGGGGGACGAAAGTGTTAATTATATTCAATGCTGGTTTTCTGGGGGAAAGCCCCTTGTGGCTCCCTGAAACTAGCTACCCACGGAGGAGGAAAAACAGGGAATTTACTAGGGAGGAGAGATCAACGCAATTATCAAAAAGAGGAAGAGGCCAATGGCTGACACACAACCCAAGGCCACACAAGGCTGCTGAGGACTGCAAACATTCACAAGATACCTGGGCCCCAACACCCTGTTCGACCACAAAAATCCCTCCACCCAAATATCAGCCCAAGACATATTGGCAAAGACCACCGACAGGTCAGCATATATGCGAACATCAAGAGCATGAGGGTAGACTCCAGGCTGGCTAGATTTAATGACACTGTAGATGACCTGAGAAATATGAGCCCTGGGAACAGGGAACCAGGCAAACCAGATCAACCAACAAATTTGTTGTCCACTTAAGCAGAACCTGTGGCGGTGCAAAGCCACCATCGGACAAAATAAACAATACACCCTGGTCCAATGATCTACGATCACTGGACCAGGGTGATCAGGGACCAGGGTGGACCAGGGACCAGGGGGTCCAGTGATCTATGATCACTGGACCCCCTTCGGAAGTCAACTAACTCATTCTTTGCCAAAAAACCAGTGCTGAATGTAATGAAACAACATTTTCTGAGCGAGCCCAGGAGGCTCCCTGAAGCTATCCGAACTGGTATGTGCTATATTAGTTTCCTGGCTCACCTGAGCAGGCTTCCCCTCCCCCCCATCAGGGCAGGGAGGGAGGGAGGGTAATAATAAACAGGTGTGCTAGTTGGATGATGATTTGCTTGTTTCATTGTTTTCTTTTGAGGGGAATTCTTTGGCTCTGTTCGGACGAAGGTTGAAATTTTAACCAGTTAGAGGTTTGTAATGGTCCGCCTACCTTTCTGGGTGCCTTTCCCACTCGATGGCAGACATGACAAACTCTAAATGTAAAGTGCTCATATGGCCATTGCTCCCTGCTCCTCTCTGAGGGGGCCAGATTCTGGCTCGTGGCACCTGGTAGGCACTAGAACTCCAAGGATTGATGGCACCAAACTAATATGGCACATGTCAGTTTGATAGCTTCAGGGAGCCAACGGGGCTCCCCACAGAAAATATGCAGATATAAAATGGTAAGAGGGGAAAAGTCTTTGTCTGCCATGAACAGCCACAAAAACAATGCTGGACTGTAAATTCCAGCTCGATGCACCTGCTCGACGACCCTGCTGGGTCGTCGAGCAGGTGCAGAGATTGCACCGCAGTGACGACGTGGCCAGCTGTGAGAGTACATAGGCCTCACATGAGTGGAGGCACCGCCTGGGACCAGACAGTGACGACGTGGCCAGCTGTGAGAGTACATAGGCCTCACATGAGTGGAGGCACCGCCTGGGACCAGACAGCAAACGAATAGATGGAATAAACAAAAGAGTGAGGTCCGACAGTTAGGTCGGGAAGTGTACCCTCTTTATCTAATCAGAAGTAGGCTGACTAAAAACTTATACACACACTTCTTAATTCTTTTCTTGATATAAAGGAATGAGAAACTGAAAGAGTGAATGATTGACATTATAATTGTGACAGTCACATGAACTACTAAACACCTAATCTTCGAAACAACTAAGACACTCTTGTGGAACTCAGATAGTGTGTTGACAGTAATTACAATGATGCATAAAGATGAAGATATTACACTTAAGTAATTTATCCTTTTAATACTTATATTTTAATTAACACTTTCGCGCTTTAGATTAGAGATAACTCGTCGCCGTTTTTTCTTACGATTCCGCATAACGGCCTACTTTTCTCGTCCATCGAAAAAATATTTCTATAAATTCCATTTTTTAACCGAAATGGATGGGGATACTCTCAGATTATATACGTTTTGTAGAGAATTTATTTGCGAATTTTTTGGTACCAGAATGAATATTATATCACATAAACTTCTATGAGTAAAAAAAAAAAATACACAAAGTATGTTTGGGGGTGTGGCGAGTGTGTGGCAGTGGGTTCCCTTTAGCCGTTGATATATCCAACACGTGGGAAATATTTGTATGTGTTATGTATATGTCTGTGTAGGGAATTTTACTGCGATCACTGTCATACAAATTATAAAATGTTTCAACAAGTATAAACATGACAAACATCAAACGAACGAAAACAATGCGTTCGTTTCTGCCGCGAACGCATACTGAGCGACATGGTTTTATATTTGGCGCTTCTCTTACACATGCTTTGTACAAATGTTATACATTTCATCTTATAGAAAATTTTATTGCGAACACATTGGTATAAAAAAGAAATACGTACATAGAAAAGTAGGGTCAAGAAACGTATAAACTTTCCAAGCATGATTTCCCCCCTGTGTTTTCGCCAGTGCGCTCGCGGCTAACTACTCTCCACTTCACACACTCTTGCGGGTGGGCAATTACCTATATTAAACATTCATATGCATATGTCCGTATAGAGAATTTTATTGCGATTCCAATGATACCAAAATTAGCGATGTAGGACAACTGTAGGCTTCGCAACCATTAAGAGAGTGGAAACATTGTGTTGCTGTTTGGCGCTCTCGGCGAGTGATCTGCATAGTTTTTTATTTGGTGTTGATACTCCTTATGCTTGGGCGGCATTTTATAGGTATGCTCTTATAGACAATTTCATTGCGAACACAGTGATACCAAATTTAAATACGTGCGCCTTCAATTATTGTCAGGACAGTCAAAAGAGTGTACACTTTTTCGGTCTTACCGCATAGGCGCGCGAAGTGCCGAAAGCATCTGGGGTATTGTTTTTTTTTGAGCGCCGAGAGCGCGAAAGTGTTAATATTTTTCATGTCTAAGTGACTTACTGTTTCGTTGCTTTTTTGTTTTGTCTTCTTTTCAAATAGTACTGTTCAACCTTCTCCTGATGGATCCTATACTTCATAAAAATATTTTACAAATAACATGATTTGACCAAAATATACACAGCAATAAA